GCCGCCGCCGCCGCCGCCGCCGCTTGTCCCGCTGCGCAGCCCCCGGAGCCCGCCTGCGCCACCAGGACCTCCGAGCCCTTCTTTATGCTTTCGGCTATTTCTAAGGGAAAGAATAAAAAAAAAAAAAAAAAAAATTCAGCCCCAGACGCGGAGCCCTGACGGCGCTGGTGGAGGAGCCTCCAAATTCGGAGATTTGGCTACTTTTTGGGTTTTTGGTTTTTTTTTTTTGCATTTTCCACCCGTCGTTTCTTTCTGTTATTATTGTAATTTTGTGCGAAAGGAAGTTATGAACAACTGCAAGTCAGGAAGTGGAAATCCACACCGGTTGTGACAAGCTGGGGCTAAAAACTATTTCATTATTTATATAGATGTGTCTATCAACATTCTGCTTTTCATCCAAAGAATAAAGGGAAATACCGGCCAGTCCTATGTTTGACGGTGAATGACAGACCGCATCTGAGGAAAGGAAGGACTAAATATATCAGCTAAGAACACCACCGTTATTTATTGAACTCAAGAGACCTTTTTTTTTTAACCCAAAGACTGTTTGAGCGAGAGATTCAATGGGTCATTAAAAGGGGGAAAAAAAAAATCTTAAAGGCCCTTTTGCTTCTGAAGAGCAGCTAACCTCAAAATAGGAGCAGTACTCGTAAGACAGATACTCAAATTAAGGCTTTACATGATGAATTTTCTATCCTATGGATATCAGTATTGAGATTACAAACCAAGAAGATCTGTAATTGATCTAGCACCAGACAATTTCAATGCCTAATATTCCCCAGGATTGCTGGAGTACCCTAGGAGCTGCGTCGGACTGTACTCGGGGTATGCCATGGGCTGTATTCAGAGTATTAGCTGCAAATCCAAAGTTTTCCGGGAAAGTATTTCAGTGATTGAAGTCAAAGCCTCCATTGATCCCATTCCCACCAGCATCGATGAGTCCTCCAGCGTGGTCCTGCGCTACCGGACCCCTCACTTCCGAGCCTCTGCCCAAGTGTTGGTGCCCCCTATTCCCAAGAAGGAGACCTGGATCGTGGGCTGGATCCAGGCTTGCAGCCACATGGAATTTTACAATCACTACGGGGAACAGGGAATGTAAGTATTTCCAAGAGCGCGTGCGGGTGCGTTTGCCGCGCGGGAGAGCCATGGCCTGGCTGGGAAATACTGGATTAAGCCAAAAATTATAACCCGGTCGGTTTGATTTTAAAACCCAGCTCTTCTGAAACTTAACAGGACTTCCTCATGTGTTTAAAATATAGGAGAGCTTGTCCCTGCCCTTTTAAAGGAGTGGGTGCTCTTCTCTTCTGATGGGAACGTGCCCAAGCCCCAACCAAAACCCACTCCTTCCAGTAGGAACCCCAAAGGAAAACTGTATTTTACAACAGCTTTTGAGCAGCCCTGGAGATCCTGAAATCCCAGGTCAGCCCTGCCACGACGGGCACCCCAGTTTTGATGTGGGTTTTACATGAGGGGTTCCTCTGAGGGCCAGCTCTTCTCTTCCTTATCCCTCCCCATCCCTGGGGGGGTAAAACCACGTTGACAAGCCCCAGGGACACGGGAGGGCTGACACTTGTGGCACGGTGCCGTCCCCAGCCCGCTGTACTGCTGCTGCAGTGTGCCATGGCCAGGAGCTTGGGAGCCCACCAGTTTTGGGGAGGGCACTTTCACGTCACAGGAGGAATCCTGCTTCCTTTGCCCACAGTAGAAGGCGGCCCACAGGGAAAGAACAAGATGGATTTAACCCACTGATAATGAAACCCCTTTTGCATCACCTTGGAGCCGGGTGAAAATTTCACATTACCTTCCTTTTGGGTAATGTAAGAGCAGGGATATATAGGTATATATGTAAAATAGGGGAAGCTAGGGGCTGTTTGCACGCCAAAACCCCTGTGTAACTGGTCAGACAGTCATAGCGAGACAGCAATGAGTCAAAATGTCACCTCCCTACGGTGAAAAGTCATCTCTCCCCTGTCCCCCACCAGTTTGTTCACCAGGGGTTGTTGTGGGCTTTGGGCTGTAGTTAAATCAGCAGCAGCACCTGATCTCCAGGCGCCAGCACCGACCAGTGATTCTGCAGCTCAGGGTGCTGGGCAGCACCGGGCACAGCAGGACCCCCCCTGTCCAGCCACAGGGACAAAATCTGACCGCAGAGCCCGCTGCTGGCAGAGGGTTTGGTGGCTGGAGGTGCTGATGCTGCCTGGTCTCTGGGGACAAGGGAGAAAGGACGGGAAGGTCGGGTCTAAGCAACCCTCCTGATGGCTCATCCCAAGTGCCCTGCCTCGGGGGATGCTGGCTCAGCCCCTCCAGGGTCATTCTGGGTGGCTTGAAAAAAGGGTGAGTGAGGGGAGCTGAAGGAGGATGGGAACTGCTGCCGGGGTAGGGCTGGAGAGCAGGACACACTCTGACTTAACGCAGTGCCCTCCTCAAGGGCTGAAGGTCTGCAGGCACAGCCTGGCCCTCCTTCCCTCCCCATGGAGGACACGGGCTCAGCATCTCAGATGGAAAGCAAATCTGTGCTGTGTGATGTGGACCAGAGGGGAGGGCACGCTGAGGAGCTGATGGAAACCTGTCCAACCCCCCCAAATCTGTCCCCACGTCCCCTCTCTGCTCAGACAGAAAGTGCCTTGAGAAGCAAACTGGCACCTGGCAAACACCCGGAGTGAGGGAGCGGAGCAGCTTATCTTGATTTTAAAAGTACTTACAGCAGGCCTGAAATCTGTAGGCTTTTTGGCTCCAACACCATCTTTAGCAAGGACAATTTGTTGCTCAGATGTTCCCAATTCCAGGCCTTTGGGATTTGCATGTGTAATTCTCAGGCTCATTTAGAAATCCTGTCTTTAGCGACCAGCTGCAAAGGAAAACAGAAAAGTCCACTGTATATAAATACAGCTCACATCCACCGAAATAAAGAGGACTGGGCAGAGAGCTGCTCTGCCAGTGCTGCAAACCTCAGCACGTCCTTTGATTTCTCTGCACCTGAGTTACCCTGGGTTTAAAATGAGGATTTGGTACAGTCTTCCCTTCCTGGAATGCTTTGAGACCAAAAAAAAGTTGTATCTACAAGCTAAGTGCTGTAAACAGGTAGTCAGAATTAAACACTGCAGCTACGTAGGAGAGCTATTAACCAGAAAATCACAGAAAGAAAGATTATTTTTTTCCCCTAAGAGGTTCATTGACATTTAACTGATATAAAAATAAGAGTTACCCAAACATAAGCAGGAATTGGTCTGTTCCTCCACTCTTTCCATAGTCCCATCGCCATCTGACAGCTATAAATAAAGGCGTTTGGGAGGAAAGGCCTCTTCTAATGCCATGGAAATGTGCTCCTGGGAGACCTTTAAGACCTTTGTAGAGAGACAGGACACAAACCTGTCTGAAAGGATGGGCCAAGCCTTTATCTGGTGTAACTCGTCGTAATCTCAGTGACCTCCTCGGAGCAGCATTGATTTATGCCAACAGAGTATTTGTCCCAACTTTCCATGATGAAGAGACTATTGGAACATATATATTTTTTATGGCTGTGGGGACAGGCAAACAGAAAAGAATGAAAAATCAGTCGGTCAAGCAGAGCATTAATACTTCGAGCAGGCTTTGGATTAATTTTTCACTTTTATGCTCCGAAGTTGTGAGCTGTGTATAAGCTGGCCATTACATTGAGGACAGAAACAGCTGAGAAATACTGGAGCAGATGGAGCTGTGCATAACGCTCCTATAGGGATGTTAGCTGCAGAGGGGATAATTTAGACACACAACGTTTAAAGCGGCACTGACGATTTTGGGGCTGAATGCAGTATTTTTAAACGTAGAGGAAAATAAAGCTCAGATAACATGTTAAATGCTGGCATTATTTTACATGCAAGTCAGCAGATGCTGCTGGGAACCTGAAAAGCCCCAGGATGAGGATGTGGATGTTCTCCCTGACCCCCTGCTCCATGCAGAACTGGGGTGAACTCCTCTTTGGCCCCATGGCTGGTGTTACTGCTCCCCCCAAGTAGGGTTTTACCCCGTGCCCGTGGGGAAGGATGCTGCTGTGCAGCAGGATGGGGCCACAGAGCTCTGACCTGGGCAGGAGCAGCTGGACCAGGTCCCTGTTGGGGTCTCCTGGGGTGGGTGCTGGTTTCCACTCCTGGTCGTGCAGAAGCTGGTGGGACCCGTGTTAGTGGCTGGGCACCGCCGGAATGGCATTATCCAGCCTTGTTTCTTCATCTCCATGGAGATGTGCAAGAAGCAGTGCAGATGGAGATATGCAAAACAGAGAGATAAATACATCGGAGTTTGAATACGATCAGCCAAGGATCTGGAGAAGTTTCAGGTAGCTATGTCTCCCCTGCAGGACCCGATGGGGCAGCTGGGCAGCATTACATCATTGCTTTACCTTACCGGGCATCATCTCGCTCTTGCAAGATTAAATCTTCTGTGCCCTGCAGCAGAGACACAATGAACTCGAGAAATCGACTTGTCAAGAGAATAAACCCCCAGTACTCGGGAGGGAAAACACAATCAGAAACGGATTCACCAAAGGAAAAAGGGTTATGCTTTCTGGGGGAAGCAAAGGGAGGTCAGTTCAGCGTGGGAATTTGCTGAGATACCCCTCAGGGGGGTCTAGAGGCAAAGACTTGGCTGCCCTTGTGTGTCCCCTGACCCTCACCTGGGCTGTAAGCACACACCTTAGCCAGTTAAATAGGTTGGCCAGTCTGACTTGAGCCAGCTCAGCAAAACCAGCAGAAATCCATCCCTTTTTCTCAATGCTGGTTTTACTCCCTGAGCCGGCGTGCAACAAACATTGCTGCCGGTTCAGGGGACGAGGCAGGACCACGCAGGGGGAGGATGCAGGGAAGAGGGACCACAACCACAGCTCCGACAGCCAGGGAACATCTTAAATTTCCTTTCTGTTCTTCGCTACAACCCTGGCTCGAATTGTTTGACGTGCCAGGGTAGGTGAGAGGAGACACTGTAAAGGACAATTTAAGATTAAGCAGCTCTGAATATCAGGTTTTTCTTTCTTGAAAGGAAGCTGCCAGCACAGGCGCGGGGAGGCAGGTCGAGGCAGTGATGGGGGATACAGGAGGTGGCTTTTCACTGCACCCACAGCTTGCACTGGTACCTGCCCCGAGCACGGGCTGCGTCTGAGCAGGGTTTTCTCTTCTCTTGGGAGCTGGAGAAGCACGAGGTTACGCAAGTCCATCTGGCCTGTGACTAATTAGGAGCTTTAAGGAATTGGGGCTGAGGATGCAATAGTGCCCGATGCCTGTCTGAAAAGGTTAACTGAATATACACATGTCACTGCTGGGGGCTGCTGTGCTGGGATTTGCTGCCACTGCAGCGATCGCTGCGGTCTGTGCTGTGGGGCAGCCATCTGGAGGGCTGGGGATAAGCTGGGGGCTTCATTTCGTGTGACAGAATAAGAAGAAACGCATCCGAAGGAAAACTGGGAGGCTGAAACCTACATAAAGCTGCTTGGCTGTCAGCAGCGGGGCTACAGTCGTGCCACAAGAAATAGCTCAAAGTTCCTTCTCCTGGTAGGAAGATGACATTTGTTAAGAGAGGTTTGTTGGCAGCTCCAGTCTTTGGCGATGCCCATACTGACTCTGAAGGTTTCAGAAGCAGCAGAAACAAGCTTGGCAGTGTTGCAAGCCAGAATCTACTGATTTTGGAGCTGATCAGCTATAGTGAACCCATGAAACCAGATAGGTTGGTTTCCTTTCACGCCTCTTCCCGGCTATTGTCAGCAAAGTGTTTACTGGGCACTTTCTGATCTTTCCTTGGCTCAACACCACCACAGAGAGATGCTGATGCAGCCAAAGATCATTCCAGGGCGTTCTTTCCAAAATCATCCAAAGGGGCAGTTGTTGGCATATTATTTAACACGGACACACTGTGCAAGGGAAGGCTGCTCACCTGCTGGCACAGAGGCTTGGCTGCAGCAGCCACCACCACCAACCAGCCACCCTTGTGCAGCCTCTGCTTTTGCTCCAGTCATGGGACCATCATGAGGCCTCATTTTTTCTTCTCGTTACCAGGATAAAGCGTGATGGTTTTGAAACCCTGGGGTTAACCACACTCGCTAGAATTAGGCACAGAACACAGGCCAGTTTCTTCTTCCCCGTTCCTGCCCACGCCTTCTCTTAAGCAGGGTGCTTAAGAACCACCCTGGGCACAGTCACGCTGCTCACCAACACGCTCAGCTTTGTGGTGGGGTTTTGCAGCAGCATCCTGCCTCCAGGGACCTGCCCGGGCCCTGACACAGCTCCACCTTTTTTTAAATTCTCATTTAAACCCTGGGCAAATCTGTAGAATGTCCTGTAATTCTGTAGGAATCTGTCTGGGGCCAGATACATCTACTGGGAAAGAAGATGGGGACAAACAGATCTTAGGTGATGCATAGTTTCTGAGCATCCTCTACCTGATTCTCCTGCCTCTGACCTGAGTAGGCTGGAGCAGCCCAGGAGGGTTCATCAGCCTCTTGTATCATCTCCAGTCCCGGTTTGGCACCTCCACACCCTCAGAGATGCTGTGGCTGCACCTTAGCACCACGTTTATCACAGAGAGAACCTCCAGGAAATTGTCACATCTCCTCCGCGGGGTGACAGCCGAGCTGGATGCCGGCCGCTGTCTGAATAGAGAGTAATCCTAAACCATCTGCTGGGAGGGAGAGAAAGAGCCCCCAGATGGTGTTTCAGTGGTGGGGAGGAGGTGGGGGGCTGCAGAACTCACCCTCTGCTCCTCCGCCCGCCGGGTTCATCCAGCATCCCCGGAGCCTTTCCCATCTCATCTCTCCCTGACGAGGAGCAGGAGGGGGGGATGAGGAGCAGGAGGGGGGGATGAGGAGCCAGGATGGCTCTGGTTTAGAGAGCAGAGCATACAAACGTTTCTCCGGGGGATGGGGGTCCTGGCAGGATTGCTCAGGGATCTCCTTTTGGCTGCCTTGGCTAAAAATTTTCTTCCAGGGAAAGGACTCCCTCTGCCTGCTGGCGATGAGCTGGAGGAGAGAGGATTGCTGCAGCTGCTGACAGCAGCCCGTAAATGGGGGGGGATGAGGAGGAGGAGGGGGGGATGGTCCGGGGGATGGGGGTCCTGGCAGGATTGCTCAGGGATCTCCTTTTGGCTGCCTTGGCTAAAAATTTTCTTCCAGGGAAAGGACTCCCTCTGCCTGCTGGCGATGAGCTGGAGGAGAGAGGATTGCTGCAGCTGCTGACAGCAGCCCGTAAATCTGTGCAGGAGACGTCACCCTTGCATAACCCCCGCCTGCTGCCCACCCCCCCAGGTCCTGCCGCTCCGAGCATCCCTGCATCCCTCAGAGCAGCCCCTGTCCTGCCTTGCCCTTGACCTTCAGGGTTCCTGCCAGGCCTTCCAACCTGCAAACCATCCATCTCCTGAGCTGTGCAACCCCTTGCCCAGAGCAGATTTTTGGTAGGACCCCCCCCAACTCGCATGAAAAAAGATAAAAAATAAATAAATGAGATCTTTAAATCCCCCACGGTATCTTCTAGCTACAGCCAGACATTTACAGCTGACTGCTGAACGACCCAGTGGTTACAAACATGGAGGCACTTCACGGTCATTAACTAATTAACAATCAGAACAGCCTTGTGAGACCGTCACATTAGTCCTGGCCAGTGGAGAGGAGCAGCTCGTCCCAAAGCTGCGTCAGAGCCCGATGTGTGTGTGTCCCCCCCCATGCCTGCACCCGGCCACAGCCCCCTCTATTTTAAGGGGCTATTTTAAGCAGCACTGGACTTATTAAAGGCTCGGAGAGTTCCCCTGATGAGCCTTAGTGTGTCCCCTCTGTCTCCCTCCCAAGATAAGCTGGGTCCCATGGCACAGTCTGCAGCCACAGGGCTCGGGGCTGGGGGGGGGAACTGGTCCCCAGCCCAGTGTCCCAGCCCCACGGTGGGGACAACTGCAGATGCCACACTGGGAGTGAGCTGGTCACGCTGCCACAGCCCCTTCCACAGCAGGGACATCCTCCTCCGGCAGCGGGGAGGGATGATTTGTAAGGGAGAGGGAGAAGGTACATGAGAGCCACCTGGTTTTTAAAAGAATGTCCTTAAAATACCTGGGCCTGAGCACGTGGTGTGTGGTTATGCCGTCTTAGTGCCTTTGCTCTGCAAATATCTAACCCTTTTCCTGAGACACTTAAAGTAGTTTGCTTCTATTGTCAAACCGGATCTTAAAAATTACATTGAAAGTTATTAAAAAAAAAAAAGAATAACAATAATAAAAATGAATCCAAGTTGTGCATCGGCGTTACTTTAAAAAAAAAAAAAAAAAAGAATCCAAGTTGTGCATCGGCGTTCTGATTTGTAAGGGAGAGGGAGAAGGTACATGAGAGCCACCTGGTTTTTAAAAGAATGTCCTTAAAATACCTGGGCCTGAGCACGTGGTGTGTGGTTATGCCGTCTTAGTGCCTTTGCTCTGCAAATATCTAACCCTTTTCCTGAGACACTTAAAGTAGTTTGCTTCTATTGGCAAATCGGATCTTAAAAATTACATTGAAAGTTATTAAAAAAAAAAAAGAATAACAATAATAAAAATGAATCCAAGTTGTGCATCGGCGTTACAAGGTGACAGAGGACCGTTTTCACTTACTTTCTCCCTGGCCAGGCTGCCCTTTCCATCAGTCTCACACGCAGGGCGCGCGGGCGACCGGCTCAGGCAGTTTTACGAGGCGGCTGACCCGGGTTTCTCTAATTACTGTAACCTCATCCCCAGCCCCGAGCCTGGTGCTCAGCCTTGGAACTGGGTCCTTCCCAGGGCGGGAGAAGGATGGGTTACACTTCCAGCGCCAGGCAGACAGCGGGGAGGGACGGAGGCTTATCCGGGGAGAAAACCAGAGTTTGCTGGTAGGGGCTGAAAAAAAACCAGAAAAGAACAGAATAAGGCGGTGGGAAACTTTGGGTGAGGAGATCGCAGTCAACAGAGGAGCTTTATGGTCCCGTTGAATCCTTCATCTTCCACTGCGTAGGTCTTGTGTCACCTTAGCCCCCAGGGCCAGCTCTGAGCTTGCCCCTTCTTCTGGAGATTTTTGTGCTGTTGAGAGAAAGAAACTCAGCCCCAAGTCCTTCTCTCACCAGCACAAGAGTCAGGAGGTGCCCAACGTGGTGCTGGAGCAAGTCCTTGTGTCCAGCCCTGCTCCAGCAGCTGGGAAGCTGCAAGAAGATACCTGCAACCCTGGATTTTCTCCAACACCGGAGCTTTCCTGAGCAGCCCACCCTTTGCTGCCTCACTTAAACACCCACGTATTTTGACCCACTCCAGGTAGCCCCCAGGTCCCAGCAAGGAAGGCCCTGGACCTGCTGTGTGATGGCTCCTCAGTGGTCTTTTAACAGCAGGATGGACTTTCATGATCAATCCTGGAAATTTCCAGACAGTTTTAATGGCAGGGATGAGCTCTTTCCGCAGGATGGTGGGAAAAGCACAAATTCCAGTAAAAGCTAAAGGGGGGATGAGTTCACAACTCCTTCCTCAAAATGCAGCGTGTTTCTAAACTAATTAATTAATGCATTATCCATCATTTCTTGTTGATTATGGCAGGTCAAGTTGGGAGCTTCCGGATCTCCTGGAGGGTAAAATCCAGGCCATCAGTGACTCAGATGGAGTGAACTATCCCTGGTACGGAAACACGACGGAAACCTGCACCATCGTGGGTCCCACAAAGAAGGAGTCCAAGTTCAACATCAGCATGAATGACAACTTTTACCCGAGCGTGACGTGGGCCGTGCCCGTCAGCGAGAGCAACGTGGCCAAACTCACAAGCATTCACCGGGATCAAAGCTTCACCACCTGGCTGGTTGCAACCAACACGGCCACCAACGAAATGGTGACCTTGCAGACTATCAAATGGCGCATGAGGCTGGGCATCGAGGTGAACCCCAGCAGACCCTTGGGGCAGCGTGCCAAGCTGCAGGAGCCCTCTGCTCAAGAGCAGCCCCAGGTCCTTAGCAAGAATGAGCCAATACCACCCAGTGCCCTTGTCAAACCCAATGCCAATGATGCTCAGGTACTCATGTGGAGGCCAAAGGATGGACCACCCCTTGTGGTGATACCCCCAAAACATCGATAATAGAAACCTGGCGTCCCGGCACCAAAAGGGAGAAAAAAAAACAAACAACACCAAGCCGAAGCAAAACAATCACTTAGGTATTAGGATACACACGTATAATCTGAGCAAAATCAAAATGCACTTTTAATTCATTCAACAAATGCAACCATTCTACCTTCTCCCATTGGGACGGATTTCACTGTGCTAAAGCTAAAGAGGAGACCTTGGATTGGGGTCTGTCTCATCACTGGATTCCTAAGGGAAGAAACTAACACTGATGTCTACCCGTAGAGCTTTTTTTTTTTTTCTTCCCTACTTTAGTTACTCTTTGAACTTCAGTCTCATTAGCTTGTCCAGACTGCCCAGAACAATAAGAACATTTTATTTGGGATTTAAAGAGTCTTTTTTTTTTTTTTCCCCTCTTTTTGGTCAAGAACAAAACAATTTCCTGGAGCAAAAAGTTGACTATTTAAGATATGGATTTATTATTTTTTTTAAGCTGTAAGGTTCTGAGTTGCAAATCCAAGTCATGCGGCCTTATGTAGACTTTGCTTTGCATTGCCAAACTTTTGCCTTAAAGCTATGTTTAAAAAAAAAAAAGAAAAAAACCACCACCAGGCAGAATGTCCTTTCTACAGATTTTTTTGGGGGGAGAAAGTTTTGGAATAAGGAATAGATTGCCCACGTGTCACGGGCTGATGGATGAAAAGGGCATGAAATTGGAAGAAGCGTGATAAAAAAAAGAAAGTCTTCCCAGTTGTGAAACCTGGAAGGAGGCGGCGTGGAAATGCTCTTGGTTTCAAAGCAATGCAAATAACAAACCTGCTGTAGGATGTCTCTCGAGTGGGAGCCACTGGGCCATCTCCCTGCTTCGCCGGAGGGGCAGCAAACGAGCTCGCACGGCTCCCACCTGGTGATCCCAGTCTCCCGTTAGCATCCTAATACAGGATCATCTCACAGCTGGAATCGTGGCCCTGGGAGTCAACAGAAATCAAGGGGGGGAGTACATCCCACTGGGTTTGTCTCTAGGACAGGCAGGTGTGTGCCCAGCTAGCCCACCCTCTCACCTTCTGGTGGCCTAAGGGCCAGGGGCTGCTGTTGGGTGAAGCTCTGTTGCCCCGTTTTCCCATGAAATCCACATGACGGTGCTGTAAGAGGAGCAGGATATAAAAAGGATCCTTCTGAAGTCATTGGAGATGCATGGGTGTAAGCAGATCTTTATCTACCAAGTCTACCCAGCAATATCCATAATTCAGGAACAGCCACATCTAAACATAACAGGCACCCATTCCTAGCGAACACTAGAAGCGAAAGCTATGAAAAACTCTTCTTCCCATTATAACACATCACGTTGGGGCTGGTAGATAATTTTCTTCCAAATGACCTCATGATGCACGTGACTGTCAGGAACCAGGAACCTGTCTGGTTATGGCAGAAACATCTACACCGTGCACGAGAAGGTGCAAGAAGGGCAACACCCGGGTCTTGCGTGTAGATCCTGCAGTAAGTTAAGGTGCATTTGGGGCAGGAGGTGGAACCTCTCAGTTTCAAAAAGGACCAGATGGCTTCAGAGATAACCAGATGCACTTCTGCAGAGGAAGCTGTTTGAATGGGAGGGGCACGGCTTGCAGGCAGAGGAAGTTCTGCAGTAGAGGTGGCATCTGGAGGACGGGACAGGACGGGGAGCAGAGGATCTTGCTCCTGTGCACGGCCTAAGGCAGATCACTTCCCCTTCCCTCGACAGCTCCTTCCCCTAGATAACATTTCTTCTTCCTCTTACTGAAAATTTGCCTCAAGAGCTAGGACTGAAGAGGGCTCAGCATGCCAGATTCCAGCCTGGCCCTGCTGAACAGGTCTCACCACCACACACACGCTGCTCAAAAGGCTCTCCCCTTGGGAGAGGCAACGATTTGCTGCTATTGCCACCTTCATCTTCCACCTGGACTTTACCAGCAAGAAATTCTCCTTCCTCACTTCTCCAAAGCCACACCACCTACTTCGGCAACAGGTTCAATGTCACCACCTGCCTGGGGAAAGCATGCCCAGAAGATACACCCTCCCCACCCCGACAGTCTCAAACCAGCAAACAAGGATCCTGGGTCCCTGCACCAACCCCCCATCCCGGGGGAGCCTGCCCTCCTCCACGCACCGCTCTCCAGAGGTGCTTGGCCACAGAGCTGCTCTCTCCATCAGGCAGATCTTTGAGGTCCAGCACGACAAGAAGCTTGCAGACAAACGGACTGGATCAAACCCAAATCCACAAGCCAAAGGTTGCCTAAATCTAGGCTTTGGGACTACAAAGGATGAAGCTTGGGAGACTTTGACTTGCACAGTCACTCTCTGTATTAAACTCCATTTTCTTACACGGATTCAAATCCTGACTCTAGCTCTACTGGCACAGCCCTTTGGGACTCCTCTGTGTTTTCTCCTAGGCAATACATGCAGAAGAGGACAAGATGTGAGCAGTGGGTGGATGGCTGATGAGGCTTTGCAGGCATCTCGGCTGCCTCTCAGGTGCACTGCTGGGCAGTCCCACGGGTGGGAGCAGAAGGGGTATTTTAGTCTGGTACTCACTTTGTCTCCAGGTGCTGAGTACTTACAGTTCTCACTGATGTCAGCGTGGGTCGGAGGAGTCAGACCCAGTTGTCTTAATTAGCTGCACGAAGGAATTCCAAGGAAAGATTTCTTCTCAGTCACCAAAAACCACATTCAGGGAACACCTACGTCCTTTTCCACTTCGCTTTGTGTTGGACTTAGTCTCCCAGTGCATTAAGTAAATCTGGTCCCTCCCTACTCCCTCTACCTGGCGGACTGGATGCATCCATGCAATTTGACAGTAACCTCCTGGCTAATTCGTCCTGTTGCACTGAACAGACCCAGCTGAGCAGAGAATACGGAATTCAAACTTCATGTTGGGGTCGGCTTTGCATGGATTTCTCCCTTCCCAAAGAATGCCTTTATCCCGTGCCTGGGTTGAAACGTGCCCCTCCACCTCCATTCGCATCACCAGACACGGCGTGGAAAAGTGATGCTGCCTCTTTTGAGATTCCATGCGTTGTGATTAAAAATGGTGGGTTTTTTTCCCCCCAATGCTGCTTCATTAGAAAACTGACGGGGACAGACTGAATATAAAAGGAACGGTGGTTGGAGGTTACAGGTGCTACAGACTTCACTAGTGGTACGGCTGGTTAATAGCTGTATGGTTAGAATGGGGATTGACAGGTCCCAATTGGGACTTAAACATGTGGGGTCTGGGGGCATCCTGCACCAAGTAAGGTGGGGAATAAGCAGAGGCAAATAAAGCTCCTTCTCTGGCAGCTTGTGCCAGAACGGGGAACACACAGAGGACATGCTGGGAAGGTGATGGGGCACCACCACGGGATAGTGATGCACGTGAGCTTGTCTCTGCCTCACCTCTCTCATCAGCTCTTTATGGCCCCAGGTGGCCAGGGGAGCTGAGAGCGTAGCCTGGCCATCCCTGTCAAAAGCCCACAGTGGTCCAGGGTGGGAAGCAGCAGGGCCAGCCCTGGCCAAGACCCTCTCCTGCACCCTCACCCCCAACCCGGAGCAGCTGTGGGGCAGGGACCAGCAAACACCATCGAGCTCAGCCAACTCAGGCCCTTGGGTTCTCCTTTCCTACCCTCCAAGAGTGTGGGGAGAGAGGGATGGCCCCTCGGAGAGTCAATAAAGATCCTGAGCAGCGTTGGGGAGGGGTAGACCTGTTGAGCCGGCGTGGTGGAGAGCAAGGCTGGGTCCAGCAGCGGGGGGGGTACGGGGAGGGCTCCCCAGCCCCAGCACCCCTGTCCTCCCCTGCCCCGGCTCCTGGCGCAGCAATAAGAATCGTCCTTGGTCTTGCAGAGATACTGTGAAAACAAAACTAAGATGTACTGAAGTCTGGACACTTAACAGAGATGTAAAAAAAAACAAAACAAAACCCTGCTTTTATAACAGAGAAATAAAAGTGAAGTTTTCAAATTTGCCTGGGGTCAGTCCTTTGGGTGGTGGCTGTTTTTAGATGAGGGGCTCCACCATTTCTGCCCTGAAGTTTCAGGGTGGTGATAAACACCCCATTTACTTTTCTCTCCCTTTCAGCTCTTCTGCTCCATCAGGCAGAGCACGGGGGTTTCTGGTTAAAAATACCTGTCGACATCCTGCATTTGTCATTGCCAGGCTGCTGTAGGAGACACCACAGAATCACAAAATCTTTATGGTTGGAAAGGACCTCTGAGATCACCGAGTCCAACCACACACACACACAAAAGAACCCCACAAACTCAGGCACTAGAGCACACCCTGAAGTGCCACCTCTACACCTTCCTTAAACACCTCCAGGGATGGTGACTCCACCACCTCCCTGGGCAGGCTGTTCCAGTGCCTGACCACCCTCTCAGGAAAGTAATTCTTCCAAATATCTAATCTAAACTCCCCTGCCCCAACTTCAGACCATTTCCTCTGCTCCTGTCATTGTTCCCTTGGGAGAAGAGGCCAACACCCACCTCTCAACACCCTCCTTTCAGGTAGCTGTAGAGGGCAACGAGGTCTTCCCTTCAGCCTCCTCTTCTCCAAACAAAACATGCCCAGGGGGCTTTCCCAGCACTTGGGCACCCCAACAAGGAGCATCTCACACCGATGTCCCCCCTTCGCTACATCTCCCTGGGTCCTGCCCAGAGTGAACAAGAACCTGTCACAAGCCCCTTATAGGTTGTAGCCAACCTTCAATGCCCGAGAGCCTTTGGTGGCAGGGAGCCCGGGCACCACCAAGGTGTGTGCCCACATGAAACCCCAACAGCCACAGTTTGGGAAGCTCCAGCAGAACGTAGCAGCGACACAAACCCACACGTTGCAGGGGAAAGGGAGGAATGAAACGAACGGGAGGTCATGGCTCGAGGAGAGGAATGTGCCCGGATGGAGGCCGAGCAGAGGAGAGGACAGGTTGTGAGCGGGATTCCTTTCCACAGTGGAAACTCTCCAGCCTCATCTGTTGATAGCACGTTAAATTTAGATGTCCTAGTTTTGGAGGGAGGGAGGGAGGGAAGGAGGGGTGGAGAGGGGACACCAGCCAACTCACAGCTGTTTTGGGTGCCACCCTGAAAAAGCCAGAAGCACCCGGTCACTTATTGTCTGCAGAAACCCTGGAAAAGCCCTGAGAAGGCTGAGGAGGAGGGTAGGAGGACGTTGGCTGCTGAGCCAGCAGAGCCCAGCCATGGGGGAGCCCAGTTCTGGGGCTTTGGGTAACACCAGCACCCACCCTTCATCGCAGAGCATCTGTGAACGCTGAGGCCACAAACCAAACTTCATGTTTCTAGAGGTTCTGTGGCTTGGCTTCGTGATTTTCTGACCTCGGTTTGAAGCTGAGTGAGGCAACGGTTCCTTCATTTGAAGAAACACCCCCCAGGCCTCCACGGTCCTTGCTCGAAACCTTTTTGCAGGGACTTCCCTCTGCTGATGCAAATCAGGTTTTGTTTCCCCATTTCTTCTATCTCACACCTTGGTTAAGCTTGCTCAGCTGCAAACACTCATTTTATTCCTTCATGTTTTCAAGTTTTAAAGCAAAATATTTTTAGCAAGGCACAGGAGAGCCTTGAAGCATCTATTAAAAAAATATAAAACCACTGTTGATGCGTTGCACGCAAGTAATTATAACAGAGCTCCTCAAACGAGCTGCATCTCTAGTTCCAAGGCTGCCTTGAGTAACACCCTTGTAAATTGGTCCCCACAAACCTGTTGGGCACAGAGTCCTGGCAAAAAGCCTGAACATGGGACAGCAGCACTGGGGGGGGTCAGGTCTGACCCCACCACAATTCGTAACTTTGGGGTTGTCCCTCATCTTCCCCTCAAAATAAAGGAAGAGCTTATGCCACCTCTGATGCAGAAGCCATTTGGACATCGCTCAAGTCAGGGCATTTGAAGTGCTGAAGCTCCTGGCACCTGCAGAGAGGTTCTCAAGGAGCCCTGACCCTGAGTGAGGGGGTGACAGGGGGGTGACAGCCCCATCAGCACTGGGGTGGGATGCAGTGACCAGGCAGGATGGCAGCCCGAGGCCAGAGCATCCCCCAGGGCTGTGAGGGCCCAGGAATGGTGCCAGAGCACTGCATTTTTATCTCATGTTGGGGGAAGGGTAGGAGAGCAGATAGTGGCCCTGGCAGCACAAAGCGTGCCCGTGGCCGATAAGGGCACGTATGGAGAAGTCCTGGCTCCGCAGCTGGAGCCAGAGAGACGTTTGCAGAGGAGGAGCTTTGTGACCTACTGAAAGCTGCAGGAAAAATGAGGTGGGGACAGGGTGAGACAGGGAACGTGCTGTGGCCCCGTGTCCTGGGCAAAGGGATGGGAGGGGAGGTGGTGCCACTGCCCGCCTTTGCTTCTCCACTGCCCTGCTCCAGGCTCCCAGGAGCTAGAGCATGGTCTGAGATGTTCAGCAGCACTTTTCCAACCTCCACCACCTCTCACAGGGATCCTACTCACCCCTGAGACTCACCACACACACAGATGCACAGTGGTTGAGGATAAACCTGTCCTGAGCAGGATGGTCACATCAGAAACACATCTGGTTTCTCCCATGGGCTATCACCAGGGTTTTGCTCAGCTCCATCCCGGCACTGCTCAGGCAGGGAAGTGGCCATGAGGGATGAGGAGAGCCAAGGGATAACCCAGGAGCACGGGATGAACTTCAGCCCTGCCATCCCTCCTCAGTTCAACAGCAGAGGGATGGATGCCACCAGCATCTGTCCTCCAGTGGCCTCTCCCACCACACTGCTGCAACACAGAAGGGGCAAAGAAATGATATTCTTCTCTCCCAGGAGACAGATCCAGATCAAGGGGTATGGCCAAGACCACTGGTACCCTGCGAGACACCCGTATTCTGGAACACTGAGTACTATACAGCAAAAACCCTCTAAACCAGGAGATTTAATAATTTTTCTTTCCTTTTGTGCTTGTGATGAAGCTACATTTTACCTGTTTTCCAGAAAAAGGCACTCTTCTTTGTTGCTCTTTAGCCTGTGAAGAAGCAGCAATCCCTGGTCTGGTCTCTCCACGGGTTTGGGGAGACCCTCTCATGCCTCAGGCTCCCCCCCTGCCCACCAAGTCCATAACACCATCATCAGAGCTCAGCCACAGCAGAGCATCACCAGCACTCAGCTCTCCACTGCCTCGAGGCCACGGTGTAGTCTCAAGGGGAGGGGGGAAATTAAGAGATTTCTTTCATTAGGAATAATTAAGAACCCACCTCCGATAAAAGCCTTGGAAGATTTCTTCCCATAGTGAAATGGCAGGGGAAAAAAGTAATAATAAAAGGCACAACCACATCAGCACAGACAAAATGATCGGCTCCTTCGGAGTCATCGTGGAACAGTTGCTATTAGTTATTTGAGGATTAATCAGCGTGGACAACACACCTAATGAAACAAGGGCTCTGAGCCCAGGTAGTCCTTGGCTTCTTTACCTGCTCTGCCAAGGTGGGGGACCTTCAGTGTCAGTAGCTTTATCCTCTGGTGGACATGTGTCCCTAAAACACTGGACAGAGGCCACCAGACCACAGGCCACCTACCACAGGTGACAGACTCAAACTGCTTCTGGCAGCCACCGATGGAGCACCACACGCACTTGCCAAGTCCTTGAGTCATCTAATAAAAATGCAATTTTTTTTTTTTTCAAAGTCGACTTTGCTACATTTTATACATATTCCTGTAGGTTTGTGGTCACGATCAGCCTCTCCGCGCTGCTCGGCTTCTCCAGCAGCTACTATGGAAACCGGGAGCAGCACCCGCTTCTCAAGGGCAGAGGGTTCAGGGGGCTGGGGTGTTTCAGCCACGATTTTGGAAGCACAGCGAGAAAAACATGTGTTCAACCAGGATCTGGATTAATCCTAACGGCCCTTCGCTTGCAGAAAGTAGAGGAATTAAGCAGGTACCAAGCAGCACAGCAGGGACAACCCCCAACTGCTCCCATCATTCTGAAAAAGCAACTTGAAATGGCTCCGCGTGCCAACATCGCATTCTTACCAAGCCAACCTCCTCCATAGCAAGAGGTTTAGGAGCTATCTGGGGGAGCACAGCTGATAGGGCCTCGCTGGGAGGTGTCGCATGCCACAGCCAGGGGAGATTAATGCAAAGAATTTAAGGTCAATGGTTTGGGCCAGCTGCTATTTATAAAGAGGAAGGAAAGCAGAACAGCAGTATCACCTCCAGGCATTAAGAAGCGGTGTATAGTCAAGGAGAATCCAGTGGGAGGGCACACTTCAACCCACCTTCGGCTTTTTCTGCCATCTCCAAACAAGCAAATTTCAGGAACTTTCCTCTGCTGTGCTCCCAGGATGACTGGAGCTTGTCCTCTTCTATCAGAGGGAATGGGGGGTTACAAACAACCCCCAAAACAACCCCCCAACAGCAGCTCTGTCTCCCAACACGACACGTGATGTCCCAGGGTTCATAAATGCAGACCGTATGTAAAAGCCTTGGAGCCTAAAGCCCTGCAAAGCCTCTCCATATCTCACTATAAACCCTCCTTGTGCATGATGTTCCCCATGTTTCAGTGGTCTTCCTTCTTAAAGGGAGCCCACCTTATGTCATTGCCAGGGCAGAGAGAGGAAGGACACTTTCCACAACTAGGACAGGAGTTAGGACAAACACTAACTTTTTAGGCTGACTTGAAAAAAACAGCTTCCTCAGGAACTGCTGATAGATCTAAGTATTTAGTTTATAAACACTGGACATGAAAATAAACAGTTATCGACTATTTACAATTCCAAAAAGTGACCACATGCCCACCAAACCAGAAAATGACACTTGTCGTCGTATTGTGTCAAAAAACCCCAAAAAACCCAAATAACACCCCCCCACATTAGAATGTTTCTGCTGAAAATAGAAAAAGCAGAAGTATCCCAAGATGTCCTAACAGGCCCAACAAGATCGAACCATCCAATCTGTGTGTATTTAACCGATACATAAGCTGTTATTTCAACTGCATTTTTCACGGAG